AATCTATGAAAAATTTTTGTTTGCTAAAATAGCAAAATAGAAAGTTGCATTTTTAAAATTCAGCAAAATAACTTACTCATTTACTTAGACAGATCGCTTCATAAGTACAACATAAATTTTCACAAGTATAAATCAAATAAGTGAATTAATTAATTAATTAATTATTGTAAAAGAAAATTTAATAATTGCAAATTTATGCAATAAAATCAAATAGTATAAGCAACTGAGTAATGACAGAGTGTAACAATAATAGCGAGTGTTTCATCTAAATTAAAATGATAATAATAATAATAATAATAATAATAATAATAAATGTTATTATCACTAAATAATAATAGTAAAAATAATAAAAAGAAATGAATATCTTATATCGAGTGATAGTAAGTGATAAGTTATGACGAGAAGAATCTCTCGATTAATCAGGGCGATACATTTATTTCTCTGCAATGAGAGATAAATATATATTTCATTTTAATTCTTGCAATTTCAAACTAGTATTAATTGATTAAAAGTGACAAAAAAGATGCATAAATGAATGAGAAATGGATGGATGACGAGAGTTAATGCTTTGATTATTGATTTAAATCCCGAGATTTACCAAATATTAAGGAATAAAAATTTGGACACATGAAAAATATGCTTTCGTTAGCTATGCTAATCAATGTTACTCGTTATTCTTCTACTAGTTAATTTGCTTCCTTCTCTCTTCACTCAACTTCTCACTTACTTTCTTCATTCGCTTCAGTCTACCTCGAGATTTGGCTTTTGGCTAAAGACTGCAGTGCAGAAGATGTCTACACATTTCATTAATGTTCTCAAAAAGTTAAACTTCCACAAATACTCTCAATTTTTCAATAACTGAATTCTATTTATGCATATTTAATTGTTAGCAATTTAAAACTTAGCAATTTTGTTAGCAACACTTTTTGTTTGCTAATCAATCCTTGCTTACTTGTCACAGCTAATGAATATTTGTGTATGCTGTCGTATGCATATTCTATACTTATATTCTAATTTATATTCTAATTCTAATATCTATTTATATTCTAATATATGCTTTTATACTTGCGAATATACGAACAGATTAATGCTTAACTTCAAGCTGCATTCATACAAATATTGCTACAAATTCATAACGTTTTACGCATACACTCATGCATTCTTTTATAAAATTATTGATGCGCTAATTTAAATTTTGAATAAATTAAATTACAGTAAATAATAGTTTGCTCAACGATTTGAACGAATAATAATTTGAATAGAAATATACGGAAAAATCATTTGGATAGCAGTTTGTTAGCTTTTATTGCGAGAGTGGGAGTGATTACTCACTTACTTACTTACTTACTTACTTACCTATTTACTTAATCACTTACTTATTTACTTATTAATATAAATGAACACATGAAATGCTAGCTAAAAGGGCAAAGAAGGAGGAAGAAGGCTATTTGTTAGCTCATTTCCACACGAAAAGCTAGCTACTTCTTTTCATTGATGCTATTTTATTTATTTACAAATTGTATGACAGCAAACATCTAGCACGCAGCTATGACAACATTATTATGAACAGAATTAATCACGTCATCATGCTTGCTATATTCATTTTTTAGTACTTTACGTGGACTGAATTCGTCATTTATGCTTACAAATTTGAAACTAATAGCTTTAATACTTGCACTGAAACTCAAAGGAGGCTAAAGACTCGCTAAGAAGGCTAGCTAAGATCAAAATATTGAAATGTTATAAAATAACAAAGCATAACTTTGCGTATCAAAGTATTTATCTCGATCTATCTATCTATCTATCTATCTATCCATCTATTACTTATAGATTTAATTTTCCTACTTACCGACTTAGAGTATTTGTCAGTTTATGCAAAAATACTTATT